TGTGGCTGCTGTAACAAACGACCCCATCTTCGAGGTGTAAAACAGCCAAAACGTTACTATCTTACAGTTATGAAAATCAGAAGTCCAACCTGAGTCTAACTGGGCTAGCATAAAGGTGTTGACAGGGCAGGGTTCCTTTTTGGAGGCTTTACAGATACATCTGTTTCCTTGCTTTACTTCAGCCTGTGAAGGCTGCCTGCATTCTTTGGCTCATGGCCCCCTTCCATCTTCAAAGCCAACAATGGAGGGTAAAGTCCTCACATCACACGAACACTAACTCTTGGGCCTCCATCTTTCACATTTAAAAATCCTTGTGATGTCCAGCTGGAATGGTTCAGTGGTTGAATGTCAACCTATAAACCAGGAGGTCACAGTTCGATTCCCAATAAGGGCACATGCCTGGGTTGTGGGCTCAATCCACAGTGTGGGGCGTGCAGGAGGCAGCCGATCAATGATTCTCTCTCATCATTGATGTTTCTACCTCTTTCTCTCCTCCCTTCCTTGCTGAAATCAATAAAAATATTTTTAAATCAAATAAAATTCCTTGAGATTACATTGAGTCCATCCAGACAATCCAGCATACTGTGCCTATTTTAAGATTAGCTGATTAGCAGTTATAATTCTATTTGCAAATTTAGTCTTCCTCTGCCAGGTTCCAGGGACTAAAATGTGGACATCTTGATTGGGGGAGGGAGCATCTGCCTACCACGTCAGGTTTGTTGAAGAGAGGGGCTAGTCACTAGGATCTGGTTCCTTGTGCATAATTTAATAAAGTTATTCACATAAATGGTGTATTGGAGTACTTCTAATAAATTTGCCAGTAGAGGAATTAGAAAAATTCTTTGTGTTGTTAAAATTGCGTTGAATATGAAGAGAGACAAGAATTGGTAAAAATAGGGTCATTATTCCTATCATCCAAATGTTAGCATGCTCTCCATGCTGCTCGTGCACCTCCTGCAAAGGTATGAAACCAATTGCAGGAAAGGTGTGATTTGGGCTGTTCCCATGACTTAGAGCCAAGGTTCAAGTCCCAGGAGGGCAGGATTCTTAAGGACGGAGGAATAGCCTACAGGACAGTGAGTTTCTGACAATGGACCAAAACGACCCCCGACAGTCCAGTCCTCTTGCTGCGTGTCCTTCAACCAGCTGCTGCTTTGTAGGCAGCATCAGCTTCTTCGTGTGTCCTGCACCTCTAACCATCTGAACAAAACTAATACTGCCCCATAGTCGCTTATTATAATTTCTTTCCAGAAATCTCTTCCCATTCTCACTTCTCCTGCTGTTTATTACACAGCATTTCTTTAATAAACAGCCTCAATATTTGCTATGCCTCAGCAAGTTTTCATGCAGCTATATACATATCTGCTATTTAATAAATCTGTTCTAGTCTCAATTTACTGCCAAACCTCATTACATTATTTTTATTATCAGTATGTTCTTTTTTTTTTTTTTTTCAGCAAATTTGAAGCTGGAGAAATTAATTGTCAAAAGCTCTGGTATATCTTCTTTAAGGGCATTAATCCCATCCTGAAAGCCCTACCTTAGGACCTCATCTAAATCCATCATCTCTCAAAATCCATTCCCAAATACCATCACTTTGGGACTCAAGGTTTCAACATATGAATTTTTTTGTGGTGACACATTTCAATGTATGGCACCATCCAAAAAACAGAATGGCTTCTTCTAAGATTTTTATGCTTTTCCAACTTACATTTAAGTCTTTCATCCATTTTTAGTTTATTTTTGTGTATGGTGTAAGTTGGTGATCTAGTTTCATTTTTTGCATGTATCTGTCCAATTTTCCCAACACCATTTATTGAAAAGACTATCTTCACTTCATTGTTTGCTCTTGCCTCCTTTGTCATATATCAATTGAGCATAATGACTTGGGTCGGGTTTTTTTTTTTCTCTCTGTTCTGTTCCACTGGTCTGTATGTCTGTTCTTGTGCCAGTACCAGGCAGTTTTGAGAACAGTGGCTTTGTAGTATAGCTTGATATCTGATATTGTGGTTCTTCCAACATTGTTCTTCCTTCTCAAGATTGCTGCAGCTATTCAGGGTCTTTTTTTATTCCATATGAATTTTTGAAGAATTTGTTCTAGGTTTTTGAAATATACCATTGGTATTTTAACAGGGATTGTGTTGAATTTATACAATAGATGCTTTGGGTAGTATGGACATTTTAATGATGTTGATACTACCAATCCATTAACATGGGATCTTCCGTTTGTTCATGTCTTCCTCTATCTCTTTTTTTAGCATCCTGAAACTGTCTGAGTACAGGTCCTTTGTCTCCTTGGGTAAGTGTATTTCTAGGTATCTTAAAATTTTTTGTTGTTGTTGTTGCAATGGTAAATGGGATTGCTTTTTAAAATTCTCTTTCTGTGAGTTCATTATTGGTGTATAGAAAAGCCATAGACTTCTGGGTGTTCCAAAATTTATTTTTCTCTCAGTTATGAAGACTGTGAATCTAAGATCAAGGTGCCAGCATGGTCTTTTTCTGGTAAGAGCATTTTACTGATTTGTAGATGGCTGTGGGGGGAGGGAGGGAGAGCACTCTCTGATATATCTACTTTTTTATAATTAATATATTTTATTGATTTTTTACAGAAAGGAAAGGAGAGGGATAGAGACCTAGAAACATCAATGAGAAAGAAACATCGACCAGCTGCCTCCTGCACAGCTCCCACTGGGATGTGCCCGCAACCAAGGTGCATGCCCTTGACCAGAATCGAACCTGGGACCTTCCAGTCCGCAGGTCGATGCTCTATCCACTGAGCCAAACCAGTTCCAGCTGATATATCTTCTTTAAGGGCATTAATCCCATCCCTACCTTAGGACCTCATCTAAACCCATCATCTCCCAAAATCCATTCCCAAATACCATCACTTTGGGACTTAAAATTTCAACATATGAATTCTTGTGGTGACACAATTCACTATATCCAAAAAACAGATTGGATAAGCTCCCAAGATTACAACAGAGCTCCCCTATGCTTTTCATATCAACCTGAGAGCAGTGTGTGACACCTACTAGTTATTCAATAAATACTTGCTGAGTATATTAAAAAATGAACAGCCAAAACTGGTTTGGCTCAGTGAATAGAGCGTCGGCCTGCGGACTGAAAGGTCCTGGGTTTGATTCTGGTCAAGTGCATGTACTTTGGTTGCGGGCACATCCCCAGTAACGGGTGTGCAAGAGGCAGCTGATCGATGATTCTCTCCCATCAATGTTTCTAACTCTCTATCCCTCTCTCTTCCTCTCTGTGAAAAATCAATAAAATATATTTTGCAAAAAATGAACAAATGTCCCATCTTTACCTCTAAACTAGTCCTTATAACATTGTTGTGCTACCTAGGAAGAATCAGTATGCATTTGCTAAACAAATGAATCCTATATAATAAAAGGGTGATATGCAAATTAACCATCACTCCACTACACTCACAAGCCATACCCACAAGCCAATCAGGAGCAAGTATGCAAATTAACCCAACCAAGATGGCTTTGGCCATAGAGAGAGCAGGAGGGAGGCTTGGGTTTCCCCAGCGATGGAGGAAGCCAAGCTTTTCTCACACCCTGGCTGGCCCAATACTCCGCTTAAGGCTACAAAGTTTCAATTACATAAGTTAAATAAATCCCAACAGACATGGCTGTGGCCACTGAGCGAGCAGGAGGCTTGGCTTCTATCAAGGCTACAAAGTTTCAATTGTAGAAGATACATAAATCCCAGATACCAGGGCCTCTGCTTGGGTCGCCAGGGAGGTGTGGCTGGTCTGCAAACCGCCACAGGCCCCTCACCCAGGACACGCCATGCCCCAAGGGAATCCCCACCCTGATCTGGGACACCCTTCAGGGCAAATCAGCTGGTCCCACTCATGCACCAGGCCTTTATCCTATCTAATAAAAGAGTAATATGCAGATTGACCATCACTCCAACACACAAGATGGCTGCCCCATGTGGTCAAAGATCCTGCCTCTATGTGGACACAAGATGGCCAGCAGGGGAGGGCAGTTGGGAGGGACCATGTCTGCAAGAGAGGGCAGTTGAAGGTGATCAAGCCTGCAGGGGAGGGTAGTTAGGGATGACCAAGCCAGCAGAGGAGGGAAGTTGGGGCCAAATAGGCTGGTGGCAGGGGAGCAGTTAGGCATCAATCAGGCTGGCAGGGGAGTGGTTAGGGGTTAATCAGGCTAGCAGGCAGAAGTGGTTAGGGGCAATCAGGAAGACAGGCAGGCAAGCAGTTGGGAGCCAGCAGTCCTGGATTGAGAGGGATGTCCGACTGTCTGTTTAAGCCCAATCCTGGTGGCTATCAACACCTAAACGGGCAGTCAGATATCCCTCGAGGGGTCCCTAATTGGTGAGGGTGCAGGCTGGGCTGAGGGATACCGCCCCCACATGCATATATTTCATGCACCAGGCCTCTAGTATATTAATAAATGAATACTTAGTGCCCACATCTACCATGTTTCCCCGAAAATAAGACATCTTCCAAAAATAAGACCTAGTGCAACTTTGGGAGAAAAAAATTAATATAAGATACTGTCTTATTTTCGGGGAAACAGGGTAGCATTGAATACCAACACTGTACATCAGTCTATTAGCTGAATGGACCTCACTGCCTGCTGCCAAACTTCCTTACTGCTCAATGTCTCTTCCTCTGGTTTTTATTTCCACTGTAGAGCTTTCAGTGATTACCTGCCCCTTTGAGAGAAGATACCGGGTGAGGTTTGAATGAAGCAGAGCTGAGTTCTAATCCCAAAGCAGCCATTTCACGTTTGGGTAAAGCTGAGCAAATCTCTGAATTGCTTTGATAATCTTTCTGGAGATATAAATATCTTCAAAGGAGAACAATGAGGATTAAATGATTTTTAAACAAGATTATATTTCACCAGCTTGGAGTATCATCTCAGTAAATATCTATTGTCTTCTAATAATGGGAGATTTTCATTTTTTATAAATCCTGTTTCTTCTGTAGGAATTTTCTCTCTAAAATTAAGATCAGCCTCAGTGACCCAGCTAATCTAGGTGCTCTGCCCTCTTTTTACCTTTTTTAAGGAATGTCAGTTGCAACTGACATTCAATTATTTTATATTAGTTTCAGGTGTACAACATAGTGCTTAAACAATTATATAATTTATGAAGTGATCCCTTGATAATTCTAGTATCCACCTGACAGACACCCATACATAGTTATTACAATATTATTGAATATACTAGAGGCCCGGTGCATAAAATTTGTGCACGGAGGCGGGGGAGAGGGGAGTCCCTCAGCCCAGCCTGCACCTTCTCACAATCCGGGACCCCTCAGGGGATGTTCGACTGCCAGGATTGAGCCTTAACCACTAGTCAAACATCTCTCTCTCAATCTAGGACACATGTGTCAAACACAAGGCCCACGGGCCAAATCCATCCCACCAGGCCTTGCAATGTGGCCCGCACCGCACTGTCATCACTGCACTCCGCTGCGTTTCCATCACAATGACAGTTTATGACTGTTCAGTAAACCATTCGGCCCGTGATTTAGGCTGGATTTTAGATTTTGGCCCCTTCTCTGATTGAGTTTGATACCCCTAATCTAGGACCACTGGCTCATAATTGCTCTCCTGCCTGCCTGCTGATTGCTCCTAACCACTCTGCGTGACTGCCTGATTGTCCCTAACTGCTCACCTGCCTTCCTGATCATCCTTAGCCACCTCTGCCTCGGCTGCCACAGCTTTGTCCAGAAGGACATTCAGAATAATGTCCGGAAGGTCATTTGGCTATCTGGTTTAATTAGCACATTATGTTTTTATTATTATAGATTCCCTATGCTGTGCTTTGCATTCTCATGACTGTTTTGTAACTACCAACTTGTACTTCTCAATCCCTTCATCTTTTCCCCCAACTTCCCAACTCCCTCCCTTTTGTCAATATGTTCTCTGTATCTATGAGTCTGTTTCTGTTTTGTTCATTTATATTGTTCTTTAGGTTCCACATACCCATCACTTTCTTAAAGAGGTCCCTGAGATTTGTTCTGTCTGAACTTTTTCTGGATACCAAGAGGCAGGTATATATCCTAAACTCAATCAGACTTTCTCTTAGGAAAATTACATGTCTTTGTCTCACAGAGTGATAGTGAAGGCAAAAGAAACTGCCTAAGAGTTCATTCATTCCAGCAGTGATATCTTAATAGTCATGTAATTTTTATCCTGATTCCTGTTTTTCCCCCCAACCTGATCCTCTGGTCTTCAAATCCACTCTGTAACACTAACCAAAACTTAAAATATGACTAAATGGCATAAAAGTAGCAAATAAAAAGAATAGATATCTTGTTCATAGGTAAAAAGATTTGACATTGTGCTGATAATTTTTTTCTATACAACCAACAAGATAGTGATTAAACCTATCAAAAGGCTTGTTCCCATCTGAAATTAAAAGCAAAAAAATGAAACCAACCCTACAAGACATTAAAGGGTATTATTATGCCCCATGTGAACAACACTGAAGTACTGGATTACTTAATTAAGGATACATTGATAGCTATTTTAAAAATAATGACACATCAAAATAAATTCTAGAGAGATCTAAGATTCAAATGCAAAAAATAGTTATTAAAATTTTATAATAAAATAATATATTAATGTAGTTATTATCTTACAATGGGGAAGGATGCTCCAAGATTGGTATTAAAAAACTACAATCATAAGGGAAATAACATTAATTTGACTAAATACATTTTTAAAATTCTCTGTAGAGCAAAAATACAAAGCATACGGCCCCTCAACTGAACTGATATCCAGTTTTCTCTTAGCCTTATAATAATATCACATTTTATCCACCATTTAATCACTTCAATAATTTTTTTTTTAAATCACAGTAAATGTTCTAGTTCAGCAGTTAATTATACAATATTGACCCAGATTCGGGAATCTGGCGACAGTCACTTTGAACTAAAACATGTGTGCTATTCAAATATGTGTGAAATAACAAAGATTGTGTTTTAAAATACATATTGCATATCAAGGTAAGCACTCTGCATTTATTATTTCATTCAATGCTACCATACCTATAAAATAAGTACTATTATTATATTCATTTCACAGGTAAAAAAAAAATTGAGAATTGGGGAGATTAAGTTACAGGCATAGTCATTAAATGGCAGAGTGAGGATTTGAACCAGGTCTGTATGGTAACAAAATATGTGTCGTAACAGCCTTATCGTACTGCCATGGATGAAATGGAGGTATCAGGCATGTTTGGAAGGCTCAATAAGCATAACACAAGATGCTTCCTATGTTGTTGTTTTTTCCTTCTAAATAAAAAGCAAGCCTCACTATGCACTCATGCACACATTCATCCATTCAAAAACCTTTACTGAATCCCTACTATGTGCCAAGTGTTAAGTTCTGGAAGTTAGGAATATGCTGGTGAAGAAATTAAAGTGTCAGTGACTGCCGAAACCGGTTTGGCTCAGTGGATAGAGCGTCTATCTGTGGATTAAAGGGTCCCAGATTCGATTCCGGTCAAGGGCATGTACATTGGTTGCAGGCACATCCCTGGTTGGGGGTGTGCAGGAGACAGCTGGTCAATGTTTCTCTCTCATCGATGTTTCTAGCTCTCTATCCCTCTCTCTTCCTCTCTGTAAAAAATCAGTAAAATATGTACTTAAAAAGAAACAAAAACAAAGTGTCAGTGACTGACCTCCAGGGAGGAAACAGGCAATACCAAAGAAACAGCACATAGTAAGCCCGATGGTGATAAATGCTATGGGGAAAACAAAGCAATAAAGGTGAGTGGAGAGGGACGGAGAGGAGGCAGGGCGCTCTCTCTCTCTCTTTAAAAAATAGTTTATTGATTTTTTTTACAGAGAGGAAGGGAAAGGGATAGAGAGCTAGAAACAGTGACAAAAGAGAAACACCAACCAGCTGCCTCATGCACACCCCACACTGGGGATGTGCCCACAACCAAGGTACATACCCTTGGCTGGAATCGACCCTGGGACCCTTCAGTCTGCAGGCTGATGCTCTATCCACTGAGCCAAACTGGTTTCGGCAGGGCGCTCTGTTTCAATGTCTGATCAGGAAAGGCTTTTCTCTTAAGGGCATGCTTTCGCAGATACCTCAGGGATGTCAGTCAGCCAAGCAGATATTTAAGAAAAGAATAATGAGCATGAGGATTGTACGTGCAAAGCTCTGAGCCCCCTGGGTGTGCCTGAGGAGCAACATGCAGAGCAGTGTGGCAGGAGTGAGCCAGGGGCAGGGTAGTGGGACACGAGGTCAGAAGTGTAGCAGTAGTTAAAACTATGTCTGCCTCCCAGGCTCACAAACAATCCCTTACTGCCAGTGACTGCAAGGCAGCCCGGGGCTGACTTTCAAGCAGAAAGACATGCTCCCGTGTTCTCCAAAGAGATCCGAACACTCTGACTGAAGACCCCACTTACCTCGCGATGCTGTGTCCAAACAGAAAGGAACATTTGGCCTTAGGAAACGGGAAGCCAGAAGACGTGTCTGATTCACTTCCACCTCTGCTGGGTAACCTCTCCCATTACTGTTGTTATCAAGCAGGGCTGACTAAACAGTTGAAATGATCAATTAGCTTTCATTGCGACTTGGAGCCTTGTTCCCTACAGTGAGATGAATTCTCGCCACCTTGACCGGGTTATGCATATGAGATTTATATGCGGTATTGCTACCGTGATTGTGATTTTGGTTTGGAATTACTCTGATTCCCCTCCTTGTGGGTCCCTGTTAAAAATTCAACATGCTTAACTCTTAATAGCTGGCACACATTGAGGAAAGTGGTGCTTTGGATTCTGCAAATAAAATCTCATTTTTAAAATTCTGTTCAGCTGTTGTCAGGTATTCTATTAAAGCTGGTGATTAGAAAGTAAGTCTGGTTAAAATCAAAGTCGAAAGATGCTTTTTGCCAAAAAAAAGACTGAGGGTTTTTGTTGGAAGATAAACTTTAAAGGGGAAGATTTATTTTTAACTGGACTTGAGATATTGTGCTAATAAATTATATTCCTGAAGAGCAGAGCTGGGCAATTTATTTTTTTAATTAAAGACCAGATAGTAAATGTTCTAGGCTTTGTGGGCCTTACCCAACTCTTCTATGACTATGCAACCCGGTGTGAAAGGAGTATGTAAGCAAATAAGCATGATTTAATCCAATAAAACTTTATTTGAAAAAGCAGGTGGCAGGCGAGATTCAGCTCTCAGGAGATAGCTTGCAGACTCCTGCTTTATCATCCCTGGTTGTTTATTTCTGTGAGTACTCAGGAAAACAGGTAGAAAAGAAACACTTTTTTTGTTTGATCCCCTTGTTCATGAATATCCAGGATAAGTATAATAATAATTAAAAAAAAAACAAAAAAAAAACAAACACCAAATAGAAATCTCAAGTGGAGCTCAGGGCACAGATTACATCTGCAGTCTTAAGACAATGCAAGATATAGCAATGCCCAACCATGGCAAGGGCCACAGCCACTCTTCTTAAGAGGGGTTTCTGGTCATTCATACTCTCCTCCCCTTCTACATTGTTCACATTTGTGAAATTTGCTGAATATTGTTGTGATCACAGACATTTCTAATGATCACAGACATTTCTGTTTGGGGCTGAAGAAACTTGCCGGCTTTCGCTGGGTTCTGGCTGCTGAACCCCTGTCCACCACCTCCCCAGCCCTGACACGCCCGCCTCCCTTGGGTTTTCCAGGACTTCTTCACACGGCACCTGCGGCACATTCCGCAGTTCTATGCTCAGCACAGAGAGCCAGGCTAGCCTTTGCCAAGGAGAAGTATCCCTGGATGCTTGGAATGCAAAAGAGAAGCAGAAGCCATGCTATTCTCCAGAGGTGGCTGCAGGCAGATGTGGGGGCAAAGGGTCGCCTCCTGGGAGGTTCCAGTGAGCTCTTGAGAGCCACTGGCGTGGCTGCAGCAGGTTAAGATGGTGATGAAGCTTCTGTGAGATTCTTCAGAATTGCTGCAGCTTATGGAAAACTTTTGAGAACCGCCATTTAGGCATGGAATACCTAGAGAGGCCTCTG